TGTATATGTGTATATATATATAAATATATCCCCTGATAGACTATAAGCTCTTGAGGGCAGAGACCGTCTTGTTTCTGTCTTTTTTTTATCCCTAGCATCCAGCACAGTGCTTGGCATATATTTATAAATACTTGATTGAATGATTGATGGATTAATCAATTTCAGCTGCTAGGTTCTGCAAAACTATTTGATTCAACTTTTAGGGAAGGAAGGTAATAGAGACTAGAATTAGAAATGAGCCATATTTTAAATGAATGTGTGTTCTTTTACCACATGGGGTAAAGGCCCTAAAGACCCCTTGCTACACTATAAGTGACCTGAGGACAGGCAGAGTGTCTTCCCCAAACTTTTTACATCATGTGTGAGTTAACTGGGTCAGTAATATACTCTTGCTTTTGCCCAATTGGTTCAGTGCTTAAAACATTCAAACATTCAGTTTGACCAGTGAAGGAATTCAACCAGGGCATCACCCCCCTACACCAACCACCCCCACCCATCTCCACACACCAAGTTGATTAGTCAGAGATTTCACTTAGCTGATTGATCAACATTGCCCTAATAAGGATCTTTCCCAAGGGTGCTATGACAAAACAAAACAAAATGTTCCAGCAGCCCATTGAAGCGGTTCACTCAGTAATCTCTGACCTGTGTGATGCCTGGTATTGAAACCCCAGCTAATCTAAACCACCTATGCCTCCAGACATGGGCAAACTAGAGTCTAGGACAGGTAGAGCATGAGGGAATTCAGCTATGAATACACAAACCTTCAAAGTTTAACAAAAATTTTAAATCACGAGGTTCTGGTAATGAAAGATTCTCCCCCCATCCCACTTTGGGGAGAAGGGTAGAGACAGGAGGAGGAAGGGGAAAGGAAGGACAGAGGGCCCATAGGAGAAGTTGGTAAGAGGGGAAAAGGATTGGTTTAGACTGGGATCTATACTCTTACGACTGACCCATCTGCCTTCAGACCTGATTTGCAAACTACTTCGGTGTCATTCAACTTTCAACAAGCATTCTTTTTTGTTTTGTTTTTTCCGACAAGCATTTATTAAACACTTAGCTTGTGCAAGGAAAGTTATGCGGCTACAAAAGCAAAAGGGAAATAATGCAATCCAATCAACATTTATTAAATGCCTACTTTGTGTCTGGCATTGATGATTGTTGTTATTTGTCCTTCTTTGTTGAAGAGGACCAGTGATATCACCTGATGTCTTGACTTCTACATGAATCAGACTTAAGTGAGACACTTGCACAAAGCCGTCGAGCTTCATTCTCTCTTCCTGAAAAAGTCCAGTGGCAAGACAAAAGTCAAGAGCACTGTCCATGGCCTGGGATGCAGTGGATGACGTTCAGTGTCTGACCCCGCTCCACAGCACCTGCTTCTTCAGCCTTCCTAGCCATTGGAACAAATTGCTCTCATCTGACCATTTCTCAGGGGAAGTCTTCCCATGCTGGGAGTAGACACCCCCTTAACTCACAACGGGTTTGAGGCCATGGAGATGAAACCAGGCAGAGTGCCAGATGGGGAACAGAAGGAGTCAAAAAAGTCCAGTTTCTGCGCTCTTTAAAGGAAGACATTGGGAGGCATTTGGTACTCCACCCCCCAGCCTTCCAATCAGAAGGGAGAGGAGGCTGAGGGAGGTGGGATCAGTCAAGGTCTGAGTTAGCCCCATGAAGGTGAGATTAGAGGCAGTAAATTTAACCTGGGAAGAGTATTTTGTTCTGTGAAGTTGAACCCCACCACTCTACTAGTGGTGGTTCGGAACATGTTAATAGATAAACAAGATATATGATGTACAAAGTAAATACAAAGCAGGGGGGGAGGGGGAAGGGCAAGGTACTAACAACTGAGGAAATCAGGAAAGGTCTCAAGTAGCAAATGGAGCCTGAGGTGAGCCTTGAAAGAACCTAGGTGGAAGTAAGGTGAGAGTGTATTCCAAGCATGAGGGACAGCCTTTACAATGGCCCAGTATCAGGAAATGTCATGGCAGATAGAGGGAAGAGCTGGAAGGAGAATGCACAGGGGTTGGAGAGCAATGTGAAATCAGTCTGAAAAGACAGGTCGCCATCACATTGTGAAAGGCTCTAAATGCAAAAGGGATTTGTATTTTATCCTGACTTCTAGGTCCCCTGGAACAGGGGAGTTGACGTTCTTGAGCATAGGAGTGATAGAGTTGGACCTGTGCCACTCAAAAATTTTACTCAAAAGTTGTCAATGGTTCCCTCTTGTCTCTAGAATAAAACACAAACTCCTCATTCTTATGTGTAAGTCTCTTCCGCTCTACCTTTCCAGTCTTATTTCACAGTGTTCCTATTCCCGTATTCTGTATTCCAGCCACACTGGTCTACTTTCTGTTCCTAGAACAGCATCCCACCTCTTTCCCACTTCTAGGCATTGGCACCAGCCAGGCTTCTGCCTGGAATGCACTCCTTCCTCATCTCCGTCTCTCAGAATCCTTCTCCTTATTCCGGTCTCAGCTCAGGTACCATCTCTTTCCGTGCAGACCTCCAGGATCCCTCCCTTATTCCCAAATGAATAATGCTCTGTAGGGACTGCTTCTTGTTCGATTTTGTGTCTTCAGTGTCTTGCATAATGCCTTGTACGTAGGAACTTAATAAATATTTGTTGAATTAAATCCAATCATAGAAAATTTAGACTTCAAGGGAACTTTAAGGTTTATCTAATTCCACCTCCTTCCTTTACAGAGGAGGAAACTGAGGTCTAGAAAGGGAAGTATCTTTCCAAGGTAACACATACAACAAGTAGGAGACCTGGTATTCAAACTTACATCTTTTGACTCCAAATCACGGGCTGTCCCTATACTCCATGTTGTCTGATGAGTGGGTGAAAGAATTCATTTTCTCTGGACACATGGTATAGAATCATAGATTTTTAAAGCTTCACAAGACTGTAAAGGTACCTAATCCAACCCTTTAATTTTATAGAGGAGGAAACAGAAACCAGCTCAGAGATTCAAGGCAACTTGTCCAAGATCACACAGGTAATGAATGGCAGACTTTGCATGCTTTACCAGGAGTCATGAAAAATCTGAGTTTGACTCTTGCCTCTGACACTTATTGGTTGTGTTCCCTACACAAATTATTTAGGTTTTTTCAGCCTCAGTTTCCTCAACTGTAAAACAGAGATTAAAATACTCATAAGCTCTTAATCTACTTCACAGGGTTGTTGCAAGCTTTAAAGTACCATATAAATACCAACTGTTGTTATTAAAATTGTCTGTGTCTCACTGGCTTCATTCTTCATTACTTGTGATGCTATTTTCAAGGAAGGGAAATCTTTGTTGTCCCTGGGGCTTTATCCAGAAACTCACAGTCCATTCGTTTGTGAACTCCCAATCAGTTGCAATGACATGGTTGTGACAAGAGACAAGGGGGTCTACTCTAATTAGTTTGGGGTTGTTCCTTTAAAAGAAAACAAAAAAAGCTCCTGCAACTCCATAAAGTTTCAGTTGAATCAGCAGTTGAAGTTATTATGAGAGAGTAACTTTAAAAAAAAAAAGGAATGCCTATAATTTTAAAATGAGCACACAAAAATGTTTCCTTAATTATAAAAAAAAATTCAAACCCCCAATATGTTATGTTGTTATTAAAGTTACGGTACAATAAATTGGAAAAGTGAAAAGATCATCTGTACACATCGGTGCATAGCTGTGTTATCTGCAAAAGAGGAAAAACTGGAAACAACCTAAGTGTCCAGGGGCTGGAGTTTGGCTAAATAAACTGTGCTCCACCAAGGTATGAGATATTATGCTGCCATTGAAAATGGGTACTAGGATGAGCACAAAGCAATGTGTAAAGAAGTACAATCTAGCGTAAGGCAAAGGAATCAGGACTGGAACAGTAAATGCACTGACAATTGTAAAAATATATGTGTTTATGCTTGTATGAACAGACAAAGGCAGAGGACAATGGAGAGAACAATTCATAAGGTGTTATCCTTCTTTATAAGTTTTTATTGTCCATCATTCTGAATGTATCTTCGAATTATTTTCTTGTTCTGCACATATTTATAATATAGAAAAGAACAGTGACCAAACATCCATAAAAAATGTCTCATGGTGCTTTCCCTCTTGGCTTTGAGCAACTGGAGTGTAGTTAAAATTATTCCAACGATACACCAATCATAAGCCCTAAACCCACTTTCAAAGCTTATCTCTACTTTCTTTTCTTTAAAAAAAAATGTTAAAAAGGAAAACTCGTTTTTTCCTTTCCTGGTTTCCATTAGGGAGGTTCCTTGAACTGTCCCTGGGGATGGGGTGTTTTTGACTGTGGTATGGGGCACAATTATCTCATTAAAGTCAGAGAGCTAGGCTTGCCCACTGGAGATGACCTTGATTCAAGGCTGGGGAGGCAGTGGGGATTTTGAAGCTTCTGGAGCCATTCCATTTCAGGGTGGGGGTCCTGTGTTGGTGCAGTGTTGGAAAGACAGAACACATTGAGGGGTGGGAAAGAGGGTTATGAAGCTTTCTCCCCTTAACTTTCTGCATCAGTTCCCCACTTCCAGAGGAATTTGCAGATGGGAAGGAAAAAACACACCCCCATCCACCCACCACTACTATCCATTGCAGTCCTCTAACTGGAAGGAAACACATTCTCTGACACTTGTTGATAGAAGTTCTTAACTTTCCCAACCACTGTTAGCTCTAAGAAACTGGCAGAAGTGAGCGAGTGAGTGTGCGCGTGTGTGTGAGTGTGTGTGCGTGTGTGTGTGTGTGTGTGTGTGTGTGTGTGTGTGTGTGTGTGTGTGTGTGTGTTGGGGGCGGTGAGGGAAGAAAAACAATTACTGTTTTCTTCCTCCAATACCCCCAACTCCCAAAGCTTCTTTTTATGCCTTTGGGTTTTGACTCTCCTGTTTTGACCCCACGCCTACCCCAACCCCCACTGCCCCTGGAGAAGGGGAGAGGACTAGAGTGAGGAGGAGGAGGAGGAGGAGGAGGAGGAGGAGGAGGAGGAGGAGGAGGAGGAGGAGGAAAGGAAGGAGGGAGAGACGAAGGAAAGAGGTTCCCTTCAAGAAGGGGCGTGTGGTGAGAGGAGATTGTGTTTTTTAACAACTTCAGGGAGAAAGCGAAGGAGAAAGAGGAGAAAAGAGGGAGAAAAAGTTTGTTTTCTCACAGTCTGCACGAGGCGGAACAAGAGTTAGAAAAAGTGAGGGGAGTGCAAGGGGGACAGAGTTGGGGGCGAGGTTTAAAAAAAGTTTCTTTCGCAGAGAGGCTCCGGGTGGCCGGAGCTCCGTCGCCGCGCGGCTCGGAGGCTCGCCCGCCCGCCTGGGGCATGGACAGCCCCAGCGCCCCGGCCGCTGCCCCCGCCGCCACCTCCGGCGCCTTCGTCATGGACAAGGCGTTCGGGCCGCAGCAGCCCCTGGGCGGCCGCCTCCTGGAGCCGGGGGACTGCGCCCAGGCCAGGAAGAACTTCAGCGTCAGCCACCTCTTGGACCTGGAGGAGGTGGCGGCCGCTGGCAGGAACGGAGGTCGCGAGCCCCGGGCCGAGCCCCGGGACGGCAGCCGGGGGCTGCAGGAGCCGTCCGGGGGGAGCAGCGGCAGCGAGGCGGCGCCCCAGGACAGTAAGTGACCCCGGGACTTGGCGGGAGGCAGGAGGTCGCGAACCGCAGAAGACAGAGGGGTCCTCCCCACCCCCCGCCCCGCCACCCAAATGAGCTCATTAGGAAACCCCTGGTCCTGGATAGGGGCGGAGGGCGGCAGCCCTCTAATGAGGACCAAGGCCGTCTAATGGGACACACTTAATTCTAATGCGTACCAGAAGGCTGAGGATGCCTCCAGCCCCGACGGGGTTTCAGCCCCGTATCCCCAACTGTATCCCCACCATCCCTTGGCAGTAGGGGTTCCGGGATGGGTCGAAAGGGGACCCCGAGAGTCATTCAGCTAAGAGCAAGTGTCCTGCCTGGTAGACACCCCTCACTTTGTTCACTTTGCCCCCTCCCTAAACCTGTGCTGGTGCGATGCCAAGGCCTCAGTAGGGAGTTGGAGAGGGATGTCAGAGGATTAGTGGGTGCTGGAGATGAAACAGCGGCAAAAGCAACACCCTGGTGAGCAGAATGAGTCAGTCCAGGGAAGGGACTTTGCAGATCTAGACGGAGAGGTTCTTTTTTTTTCTTTTTAAGAAAAAAACAAAACAACATGAAACTTCCTAGACAAGACTGGGGGAGGCGAAGAGAATATTGGCATGAGGGGAATCTTAGTGGAAAAAGCGCTAGACTCTGAGTCTGGAGACCTGGGTTCTGGGTCTGGCTCTGACCCTTAGCTGTGTGATCTTGGGCAAGTCCCTTTGCCTCTCTGATCCTCAGTTTCTTCTTCTGTAAAATGGGGGTACTAATACACAATTTACTTTGTAGGGTTCTTTTTAAGGAAAATGTCTTGTGGGCCGATAAAATAAAGGGATTGGACTAGGTGATTTCTAAGGTTCTTTCTAATGTTAAACGTTTATGATCTTAAAGTACTATATGCATGTGGTTTATTTTTATTACTGCTTCTCAAAGGAGGGTGGGGATTATTGACTTTCTCATGAGTTACTGGTTAGAGTTAAGGACTAGCTTCCCCTTCCCCCCCACACACAACTTTTACCTAAATGATGGGCTTGTTTATATGTTGGGGTGGGAGACTATTCTGCTTGGGTGTTTGGAGAGTTTAAATTTAATCAAATTGTCTTTCTGGAATTTGGGAAACTAAGTTTCTAGCTAGAAGGACTAGGGAGCTGTTTGGGTGGCACAGGAGATCACAGTCCTGGCCCTGGAATCAAGAAGAATTCCAGTCCTGCTACAGGTGCTTACTAGTAGTGTGATCCTTTCAGCTTGTTTTCCCATCTGTAAAATGGGGTAATAATAGCATCTAGTTAATACGGTTATTGGGGGGATCAAATGAAATTGCAAACCTTAATGGGCTATATAAATACTAGCAATTTGCATTTAGGGGCTCACTAAGACTCCCTTACTCCCAGGGTCCAGAATATTTTTACACCTTCCATGGCCTGGGAAGTCATCTTTCCCTTGAAGCTTAGATCTAGTAAGAGAAAAGGAGTGGAAAGAGAATCCAAACTCCTAAAGAGTTCATAAAGGACCCCTGTCCACCTTTAGATTTGTATTCCAAGTTGCTTCCAGGACATCTATTCTGCAGTTGTTAGAGAAGGGGAGAAGGCCTGATCTAAAGATACTAGCACCTCCTCAAGTTGTAAGGGAGATTGAAAGAGACTTGGAAGGAGCAGAGTTAAGTGAGCATTTATATTCACCCTGGAGGTGCGGGTTTCTCTGTCTGTGCAGGAACTTTCTTCCTCCGGGTGCTGTTGCCTGTACCCCGGTCCAATGACTACCCCCTTCATGAATGTAGGAGAGAAGTCACTCGCTCCCCTCTTCTATCATTAGCCTCTCCATGTTGGGGCTATATTCATATTTCACAGCATCATTCCTGCCAGGAAATTAGGACAGCACAGCATCTGCAAAATGACTAATAAGTTCCCCAGTCTGAGTGAAGCCACAACTTTCTTCTTCCAGCATCAGACTCCCAGGAGCTTTAGGGGTTTCATGTTGGGTGATGATTTGGCTTTTTTTTTCTTTGCTTTGTTTTGTTTTTAGACAGACATGGCCACAGAAAACTGATGCTTAACCTGATATAAGGTCAAGCAGGAAGTGGGGATCAAAAAGTGCCTCTGTAATTAATGGCAAAGCTGCGGCCATGCCTAATCTCTCTGAAGAGAAAGAGCCCCATTTGGCCAAGTCTTCCCTCCCTCCAGAGTGCTTTTGGCAGCCGGGTTTGTTATTCCTAATGAATCAAAGGTGAAGCAAACTGTCTCCTTTACCCAGTCTGTCTCTCTCCAGTCAGAGGAAACAACTGGAGAAATGACTTTCCATAGAGAGGATGAGAAGCCCGTTTTTTTCTCTCCAAGAGGAGTTTAGGGAGCCAGGCCCTGGAGAGTTTAGATTTAATCAAATTATCTTCCTGGGATGATGGGGAGTAAGTCCCCAATTGGGGCCAGCTACCCTACTAGCTGAAAAACCAAGAAATTCCATTGTACTGAAAATGTTCAGGGAAAATAATAAAAATAATAACAACTAATTTTTATATAGCCCTTCGTATGTGCCCTGACATAAGCATGCACTGTGCTTAGCACTTTGTATGTATTATCTCAAAGGACAAGCTAACCTCTGGACCTGCTAATCACTAGCACTGGGAGAAAGCCATGAGGAGTTGATTAAATCAGATAATTTGAACGAAGACATAATTTCAGTAAAGGTGCCTCAAAAATCCATGAAATGCTATGGACATAGTGGGTGTGAGTATCATGATTCATGTATTTGACAAACATTTTTAAGTGCCTCCAATATGAAAGACAGGTATCCAAGGTGCCAGGAACAGCATCACTTTCCTATGACTTTATTAGCTACTAGTGAAATAAGGGAGGGATAGGAGGAGATGGAAAAGGATGAAAGACCCAAGGAGGCATGGAGAGAAAAGAGGCAACGAACTTCAGTGATTTGGGAGGAGAACTATTCTATTCTTAGAAAGTCATGGCCAAAAAGACTCCTTGATTGGGAGGTGGGGTGGGGTGGGAAAGGTGGTCTCCATTAGCACAGTCATGGCCCCAGCTCGGTAAGAGACAGAAATGCATTACTGCTCCAGGCTCAGTATTTCCCAGGAGACAGGTGGAGGCATCATTACACTAGTCAAGCCAAGAGACTGAAGGTTAGGAGAAAGACCCTGAAAGCCATTGAGTCTCCATGGAACTCAAGGTTTCTGGGCATCTGGGTTCCATGTGCACCAGCCCAACCACTTCTCAGGGAGCTCAGCAGCAAAAGTGCACTGTTCAAATCACGTGGGTGGCATCCCCCCAGCAAAGCAAAGATGCTCATTTCACTTGTCATGTCTTAAATTAGAAAAAGGTTTTGGACAATAAGAGAGGACTACTGGCCCAAGAATAGCTCTCCTTCTTCACTTCTATGCCTCAGTTTCCTTATCTGTAAAATAAGGGAGGTTGAACTAAATGGCCTGTGAGGACTCTGCGCTCTGGACCAGAGCTCAGAAAACTCCAGCTTGCAAGCCAGATCTGGCCCGCCACTTGTTTTTGTACAGCCCACAGGCTAAGAATGGTTTTTTTTTATTTTTAAATAACATTTTATTATTTTTAAAATATGAAAACCATTCTTAGCTTACGGGCTATACAAAAACCTCAGCCATAGTCTGCTGATCCTTGCTCTAGACCAGGGGTTCTTAACATTTTTTTTGGGTCATGGACCTTATTGGCATTCTGGTGAAGCCTATAGATACCTTCTCAGAATAATGTTTTTAAATGCAGAAAACAAAATACCTGAATCACAAAGGAAAACAATGATCTTGAAATCTTTATAATTTTTTTTTAAAACAGGTTCACAGACCTCTGGTTAAGAACCTCTTCTCTAGGGCTATGGTCCTGTAATCCCTGCCACAAAATATGGAAGGGAGGGGGCAGTCATTTCTTTCTGTGATTTTAACTTCCTTTTCAGTTCCAGGCTAAGTATACCATTGGCCACTGCTCCCCCTTTTCCACCATTATCTATGACCTGGCAGGTCTTGAATAATATTCAGGATAATATTAAGTTGCCCAGGCAGGCACCAGGCAGATCTCCAAGATTTGGTTTCCAGCCAGCTTTGGCCACATGTTCTAACTTCCTTCTGGCCCCTTGGCCTTGGAAATGCTCTGCCTACTCCCAAAGGAGTCCAACACGTTTGTACGCTCCCTGAAGCATCAGGGAGCTATTTTCTAGATGTGGAGAAAAAGAAACGTGTGCCCCCTTTTTAAAAAAAGAGTGGGGGTGGTGGATGGAGGAGGAGAGAATAGGACATATTAAAAAGTGAAGAAATGGATGTCTTTTCAACAGCACAAGCTGAATCACAACATGGGGGAGTGGGGGAGAGGAAGGGGGAGAGAGAGAAAGAGAGACAGACAGAGAGGCAGAGAGAGAGAGACAGAGAGAGAGAATGTTTCTGAAAGACCAAGGTGGACACAGCTTGTTTCTGAGTTGGGTGGTTTTCCCAGACATCAGGCACCCCCACCCCTTTCAGAGAGATAGCAGGGAAAGGCAGCGGCTTCTTCAGTGAGTCAGAGCAAGCCAGAGGCTCAGATTCCTCCCCAATCAAACTCTGAGGTCTGAGCTGGGGTGTTAAGATATGCCAAGCACGTCGAGAAAATAAACCCTTGGGTTGCTGCCTTCACAATGAGTTACAACAAAAGAGACACATTAATAACTGGGCTTCCTTTAAAAGATTCCCTCCTGTGGGCAGGGCAGAAACTAGTAACATGGATGCTACAAAAATAAAGAAAGTCAAAAGTGGAAGGTTAAAACTTTTTGGCTAAAACAGAACTTCCTCTTGCCATTTTTCAATTCTCTGTTGCCTATACTCAAAAAATTCTAGGGCTGAAAATTTATTCTTTTCACTAGGGTTGTCAGAGATTTGGGAGAGAGAAAAAAGCAACCACCAAACTTCTACCTATTTTCCATTAACTCAGGACATGGTATTTATTTGGTGATTGAAAGAAATGAGAGAAAAAGAAAATCAGAAGAACCCAAAGACAATG